ATGCCTAATACTTTAAACAAGTAATTAGCTGTAATAGAGAGACAGAGGATAATATTTCAACAGGAAGTGGGGAGTGTGTAAACTGGGGTGTGGGTGCAGAGTCATGGGATCTGTTAGATGACTCTGGGGCTGGCGTGGGGGAGCAGAGACATAGGATCTGTTAGGTGACTCTGGGGCTGGGGGGTGGGGGCAGGGCCATAGGAAATGTTAGATGATTCTGGGGCTGGGGGGTGGGGGCAGGGCCATAGGAAATGTTAGATGATTCTGGGGCTGGGGGGTGGGGGCAGGGCCATAGGAAATGTTAGATGATTCTGGGGCTGGGGGGTGGGGGCAGGGCCATAGGAAATGTTAGATGATTCTGGGGCTGGGGGGTGGGGGCAGGGCCATAGGAAATGTTAGATGATTCTGGGGCTGGGGGGTGGGGGCAGGGCCATAGGAAATGTTAGATGATTCTGGGGCTGGGGGGTGGGGGCAGGGCCATAGGAAATGTTAGATGATTCTGGGGCTGGGGGGTGGGGGCAGGGCCATAGGAAATGTTAGATGATTCTGGGGCTGGGGTGTGGGTGCAGGGCCATAGGATCTGTTAGATGATTCTGGGGCTGTTTGCAAAGCAGGCTGCCACCTCACCTAAGTGAGTCTCACAACTGGCTTCATCACAGGAGGGCTATTACTACTAATCCACTCCAGATTTGTCCCAAGAAATGTAAAATCTGAAATAATTTGACAGTTCAGAAAGCTTACTGGTGGTGGATTTAAGATTACAAGTGGCTTCTTTCACTATTCTCTTGCTGCATGCCCCTTGCAGTGTGCTCCATGGTAGGCCTCTCAGAGGTTACTGAACTTGTTCAGAAGTGGGATAAGCAGCCACAGAGGGAAGGGGTCCTATTAGCTCACTGGAGACTCAAATCTAGTTATCTCAGAAATTCCTCAAGTGACCTTGTACATTTGTGCACCATGAGTCACATACAACCCCGCACTAAGAAACCTGAAACCTTAAGATATGCTGTCTCACGGCAGAAGGTTCACGAGCAGTCGTTTCCTAGTGTTCTGCTGTTATGAAATACTGTTTTTGGAATAGGAAGGATGCCTTTAAAAGAGTGACATTGATATTTCGATTCAAAAGGATGGAGGATTGGACTTACTTTCTATTTTTGGTCACTAACTTGCCACACATTAGACTTAGTTCATTCAAGGAGAAGCCTGATTTGACAGGAGGGACGGATACAGGAAAGAACTGACTAGAACCAGGGCCATTCATTGCTACTCTTCATTCACTGTGTGTGGTTAATAGTGTTCTGTTCTTTTCATAGTGCAGATGGAGAATTAGTCAGCATTCTTCAAATAGTATCTTTTTGTAAATCATGAAGAAATAAGTGGTAAAAAAGTATCTCTGCCTCTTAAAAGTCACCTCTAGATAATCTTGAAGATTAAATGGAGGTTGTGTTCTGTTTCAGATGGAAGAGACCAGGTCACCAGAGCTTATTCAGAAAGTGTTTCTGTGAAGTACAGGCCAGCAAAGCTAAGACCATCTTGATATGATGCAGTTGAGGACTGATTTGTTTTTATAGAAATTGTTAACCAAGTCTAGTACTTCCTTAAGTTCTAGGGCATAACAGTAGGGAGTAAATATCCATTTTCTGCCAGTGGGAAAGTGCAGAACCCTGATATTAAGGTCTCAGCAGATAAATAGTGAACATAATTAATTTTTCTGCATTGTATGTTTACTTTGTGACCAAGTAAGGCAGCTTCTTGGCGGCCAACCTGAGTTTTCTAGCCAAATGACTAATCCAAGGTTCCCAGGATGTTAAATTTAGATTCAGATAGTCTTATCTCACCTTAAATATTGAGCCGTTTTCACAGCTTGATGGAATACCTTTGCACCATGGTTTCTTGTTGTCAATAGTAAGTTCCCTAACAGTTCTTAACCCTCTGCCTTTTTGCACAGTGGCAATTGATGATGGGAACTACAGGGAATTTCCAGGTAGGAAGTTAGGAGAAACACTGAGAGGATGAATGTTTTACCTACATGCTTAGAAGAATGCTGTTTTTTTTTTGTTGTTGTTTATTTGTTAGTTGATTTTATTTTTCATTGTGTGTGTATATAAAATAAATCCCGGATTTATTTATTTATTTATCATTTATTTATTTATTTATTTATTTATTTATTTATTTATTTATCATTTATTTATTTATTTCTTTTGGTTTTTCGAGACAGGGTTTCTCTGTGGCTGTGGAGGCTGTCCTGGAACTAGAGACTAGGCCCGTCTCGAACTCACAGAGATCTGCCTGCCTCTGCCTCCCGAGTGCTGGGATTAAAGGCATGTGCCACCACCGCCTGGCCTTTATTTAATTTCTTTTATTTTTTATTTTTTTGGTATTCTAGGTATAAGTCCTATGAAGCTGTGGTTTATAGTTTCTGTTTCTAATTTTGTGGGATTGAGTTTTCCCTTTCTTGGTGGTATCATTTGAAATAAAAAAAAGTACTGTTTTCTCATGTAGCTGCAGGTCTATTATTATTTGCAGTTGTATTGCTATAAAGCATCGCTGAACTTCCCTCTGTTGAGGGAATTCATAGCTCAAGTAGGTAGAGCTGCCAGTAGAGCCTTCACAAGTCTAGCCCATCTTTCCTTCCAGCTAATACTCCACCTCTCTTCTTTGGAGCTGAGATATCTATAATATAATGGCAGGCCTGCCTTGATCATGAGCCTACAGGAGTGGCTGAGGCTGGCCCTTTGTCAGCATTCCTTTTATTAAGGGCTGCTATTTCCTCAATGTAAATAGAGACTGAACCTGATCTTTCTCTAGTGGATCTTTCCTAGCAGAGCCCTGCTTCTTCTCATTCAGCTGCTCTGCTACCTGGCAGATATGATGCACAGATGTGGAGGGCAGTGGTGTTGGAAGTTATCATTCCTCTTAGTGTAGCCAGTTCACTTCCCATGCCTCTGCTCCCTTGCTAGTTCATAGCTCTGAACCCAGAACTTCAAGGTACTGGAATGTTGGACCAGTGTCTTTTAGACTTCTGAATGTCATTGATTAATGTGTTTTCAAACACTGTTAAGTTTAACATGGCCCTTAAGTTTCTTTTTGTCAGAAAGGACATTGGGTTATATAACCCCTATCATAATAGAAGCATTAACAGAAATATAACAACTCTGAGAGTTCATTATCAAGAGAGTTGAAAGAAGAAGTTATTTAAAGTCAATATATTGCTTTAATGTTTCTTATTTTGCTATCTCTGAAAAATGCATATTGTTTAGAGACTCATACTGGAGCCGTATTCTAATATACTTACCAGCAATTTTAAGTAGAAATTGGCCCACTTCAGTTGGCCTATTATTTTCTGTGTATGATCTCAGTTCAAGCTTTATCAATTATTTCTTAACACTGAAGTAACTGTTGTGGCTGTTGGGCTTAGTTAGCTAAGTCTTCTTTCTACTGGTATTTGTATGGCTTTCCAAAACAGAAAAATGTGACATATGTTGATATAAATCTGAGCTGACATTGAGAAGATAAAAGTTATCTTTCATAAGATATGATGGCTCTCCTGTTTACCTATGCAATGTGTCATTTCTAGATTATGCAAGTCTACTGCAGGCTGACTGTACTACATAAATTCTATTCTCTCCCATTGAAATTACAATGTCAAATAGATATTAGAGTTTTATCATAGTTTAGTTATTGGCTGTCACATTGGCTCATTAATTACAACAGTTGTGCAATAAAAAAGCCACAGGAATAGATAATGTGCTGTGTGTTTTTGTGTGATTATAGTTGTAACCCCTACTTATGGCAGTGAAGTCTTGTTAATTGACACAGCCATAATGCACCATTGGTTTGCTGTTCTTCTTTGAGGTTGGCTTATCAGTCTGTTAAGGATCTGGGAACTGAGAAACATGCAATGAGGCTCACATTTCAAGGTTTTAAAATCCTTTCATGATATAGACATTCAATTTATTCAATAAATATTTGTTAAACGTGTTCTAAGTGCTCTTGAGTATAGAAATATATAATGTAGAATCTACTCTGAAAAAAGTAATAATGGAGAGGGGAGGCAGAATACCTGTATAAAGGTCAATGTGATCCATATATAAGCTACATATGTAAGCCCCATGTGATAAGTTCCCTAAAACTAGGTTGAACTACTCTCTAAGCTAAGAGGAGGAAGTAATTCCAGGCCTAAATGATCAGTAAAGCTATAAAGCCAAGTGGTAGAGGAATGACTTTGTATCATGACAGAAAGCTCTGAGCTTTCTTAAATACACATCTGTATTCTAGAATGGTAGTGAGAGGTAGGTGGCTGAATGCACTGGCTTGGAAATCAACTTTTGTTCTCAGACCAGCTGCCTTGCAACCTCATTTTGTGTCCTTGAGTGTATAGTATTGATGTAATAATATGTGTCCAGCATATCTCACTATGATAAATGAGATAATGCGGATGCCTAAGCTGCTCCCTGTAGTGAAAGTCAGATTGCTTAGCAGGTGTCTATTTTTTTTCCAGGCACCTTAGGCCATGCATTTGAATGATAGTAAGCACAGCTTCCCATGACTAACCGGATTAGTGTCCTTACCAAAGCACTCTGTTTATTGCCAGGGAATAGCATATTTTGTGTGGCATCTGAACGGCTGTCTAAAAAATTTGTCAGAATTCATTGGAGACTACCTGTATGAATACAGAGTAGTTGTGATTCTATAACCTCAAATATGCTAAAAAGGAACTGTGTTTGTTAGGCTGCTAGTTTAGGAACTTCACAATGGATTTATACATTCTTAAGTTATCTTCATTTAGTGATAGTAATATGGAACTAGATAGATTTAGAAGATTGCTTAGATTGTGTAGGTGTTGGAAATCAAATCTGTTGGAATGTGATATTTGTATTATGTACATGATGATATGTGTCTCACTGGAGTTGATTTTTTTTTCTTTCAGGCTAGTGTAAACCAGTTGTGTGTGACTGTATGCCTTTATGTAAATGTTATTTATTTGTTTGTTTTTTCCACAGGTTACTTCTAGAACTGCTGGAGCTGTTGTTTGACAAGTTTAATGCTGTAGCCACTGCACACTCTGTGGTGCTGGGGTACCTGCAGGATTCTGTTGGGACCCAGCCACCTCAGCAGGAAGAGATTAAATTATATGACATGGCAGATGTGTGGGTGAAGATCCAAGATGTGCTGCAGGTAATGGCTTTGTACAAAGGCTACCATCTTGATTGGCGGCAACAGTATAGAGTAATAGTAAACAGTGACCTAAATTATTACCTTAGGGAGCCCAAACTGATGAGGAAGCTTTCAATGAAAGGGGATGCCGTTAGTTTCTACCATCTTTAAAAAGACTTCTAATAAACTTTATTATTATTCTCATTAGTTTTAGTACTTGGTCAAACTTGACAAGTAAGAGCTGATTCTCAATATGTAGCAATCAAACATATGTACTTTCAGGTTTCTAGGCACAAGTTCTTTACCTCATTGAAATTAGTCATATGTTTAGCTAATAAATAGCCTGGGTGGTTAAGAGAGGAAGATCATGAGTTTGAGGCCATTCTGGGCTTTACACAGAGTTCATTGCTGGCCATGACTATGGATTGAGACACCATTTCAAAAGAGAGAGAACAAGGGGTGGGGGCCGTGTGGGGAAGAGAGAGAATAATAAATTCTAAACGTTTTAAAGCTGTTTTATGAACACAGCTGAGCTTAATTTACTGACTGTTTTCTTATCATCACTTTTTCTGTGTATTGGGTGAAATGACTGGACAGGACTAATTCAGAGAGATTAGAATAAATCTGTGGGTTGGAAATGTATCACTTTTATTTGTTGAAGATCGAAGGAATTTCATTACTGTTTGATATGATACTGCTGACATGGCATTTAGAAAGTGCATTATATTTTTCTCTTTGCCAGCAAGATATATTTGATTTGTCCAGATGAAAATTAGAAGTGCAATTAAGAGTTAGCTGAAACAAATTTGACATAGCTAAGTAGAAATGGTAATATCTACTTAATATTAAAAGAGGTAAGTACATGTAGAGAATTGAAAAATGTAACTGTTGGAATGAAATCACTTGCACAGAAAATAGGAATGCTTGCAGTGATAAATAAATCATGAATGCAAATTGTAGTCATTTTTGAGAATATATGCACGCTCTGGTAGATTGAATAAGATTGATTCTTAGTAACTCATTTTCTAGACTTATTTTTGGGAGTGAGGTGCAATGAGTTTGGTCTGTTTAGATGGATTGAATCTACTTTTTCTAGATCCTTTTACTGATATGTCAATTACTGTGTACCTGTAGTAGGTACTTGAGAAATGTGTATATTGGATTAAATATCTTTATGGTTTGGAGCTGGTTATTTAATACTTTGCATTCTGGTTTGCTTATCTGCCACATAGAAATGAAATGTGCTTTTCATGCTACAAAATAACACGACAAAGCAATTTCAAATATTGTTGTATGTATAGTTCTGGCCATGTTGAAATTATCTTTTATATTTTATAGTAAGCAACTGTAAACCTGAATGGACTCAGGTAATACAGTTAGCAAAAAGCATAGTGGGGAAAATGATAAACATCATCTCTGACTTGCCTCAGGGTCAGCCTAAGCCAGAAACTAATGGGTGTCACTTTGAAAGTGCCAGGAAGAAAACATTGTCAATCTAGAATATTGTGCCAACCGCATGTGAAGATAAGACAGACATTTTCAAATGAGTTAAAACTGAAGGAATTTAGACCTACACTTAAGAAATGTAGAGTTTTTAAGCTGAAGGAAAGTGATACTAAATGGTAATTGCAGGAAAACATAGGTGGGCAGCAGTGAAATATCAGTTTCCTTATTTGTTGACTTCTTGATCTTTTGATGGAGTTTCACTTACATTTAAAGCAAAACTAGTAACCATATATGATCATTTTATAACATATGGGAGTAATTATATAACAATAATTTCAGAATGATTATATTTCTGGTAAACAAATCTCTTTGGCATAAGTTTCTTATGGCACATGTAAAGATGTATAATATTTAGGATAAATTATGATAAGTTCAGAATTTGTCATTTAATCCCTAGGGCACTAAAACAGTAGAATGAATATATAGAAAAAACCTTTGCCAGAGGAGATAAAATTGATCACTGAATAATTGATTAATTTAAATGAAATCAGGAAAGGAGGCAAAAAGAACAAAGGAGAAAGAAAAGATAAAGAACAAAGCCAAGATGATATGGTAGGACATAAATAGAAAGGTGCATCCTAACTATACCATTATATTAAATATAAATAACAAAGCTTCCTAGTTAAATGTCAGAGGTCATACTGGATTAAAGACAAAGAAAAATAAGACACAGATGTAATGATAAGTCTTTCCACCAAGCCACCCCAGCCCCGCCACCACATGGGCGCCCGAAATAACACACACAGATTAATATTAGGTACAATGCTGCTGCCAATGACTAGGATTTCTTATCTGCTATCTCTGTCTTAAGTATCAATCATAATTATTAATCTATATATTTTATAAAGATTTATGTGATAAAGGACACCAGCGGCATGCATCCTCTCTTGTCGGGTTCATATGGTGGCTCCCAGAGAAGAGAGGAGAGGGAAGAAAAGAGAGGAGGAGGAAGAGGAAGAGAGCGATTTCCTGCTTGTCCCTGCTTATATTCTGAGTCTGCCTGCTATGTCACTTCCTGCCTGGATCACAAGACTTCTTTTTACTATATTTCTCAGAATCCTCCTCGACTTCCTAGTCCCACCTATCTTGCTTCCCTATTGGCCAACAGTACTTTATTTATCAACCAAGAAGACAAACATATATACAGAAGGACGTCCCCCATCACTCAGACATGCAACCTCAAGAGATGCATTTTATTATGTTTCAACTTTTCAATACTTTTAAAGTTTTAGGCTTAATAATATTGAAAGACTACTTATATGCCTCTTTGTTGAAATTTGCCTTTTGTTAACATTTTATTATTTTATTAGTTGTTCTCATGTATAACACACACACACATATACACACTTCTGAAAAACATCAATTTATGTAATCTGTGTATATTTTAGTTTTATCATACGAGCCAATAATGTAACTGTTTATTTTTATTTTGATCAGTTGTCTGGAATAAGACATTTAAATAAGACATTTCCATAAACAATTACAGCAATTTTTCTGTTCCTGAAGTTGATGGTTTCTGTCTTTGCATAGTTCCCAACAACATTAAAATGATTCTAATTCTGCCATGATGAGGAATTAATTATAGTTATGAATAGTGCAACCAAGCTATTCTTTCTTCCTTTATTTACAGTGGCTTTAGCTTTATCAAATGTATATGGTTCCTATACTTTTAAAAACAAAACCCATATTAAAAATGGTGATAATAGCCACCCGGCGTTGGTGGCACATGCCTTTAATCCCAGCACTTGGCAGGCAGAGGCAGGCGGATCTCTGTGAGTTTGAGGCCAGCCTGGTCTACAGAGTGAGTTCTAGAACAGGCTCCAAAGCTGCACAGAGAAACCTTGTCTTTAAAAAACAAACAGCAAGAAAAAGATGTTGATAATAAATGAAGCAACTTCAATTCCATTAGACATTAATATATGGAATATATAATTATAATATGAATTTATGGCTTATTAAGTGAGTTAATCCATCCATAGGTTAAAATGGATGATTTGGAGAATTCTATGGTAGAGTGAGATATTTTAGCAGATTTAATTGAATACAGTTATATGCTGTTATGTTTGCTTATTTAAAATACAAGTTTTATTGCTTCTCAGCCTGTTGGCTAAGGTCAACTATAAAGAATAGTTTTCACTGTGTTCATTGTGCTTATGATATTGTGCAGCCATAGTTACAGTCTAATTTTGAGACATTGTCTTTACTACAAAAGGAAATCTTGAATCTATTAGTAGTTTCTTCCCATTCTCTACTCTAACACAGTCACATGAATCTCTCCAAATGGCTTATTTTATCATGGACATAGAGCCCTCTGGTCTTTTTATTTATTTATTTTTAGTATAGATCTTTAGATGTTTTAATTTAACAGAAACACACAAGATCTATTCAAGGCACTAAAAGTGTGTCATTTCTGTTCAGAACATCCTTAGCATGCTGATGAACTGGGTCTAAGTAGATTCCTTAGAGGTAGAGAATGTGGTGAGCTTTGTCACACAGCACCTTGCACTATTGGTCCAAAGCTTATGAGATAATGTCTGTCAGTATATGACATAAAAAAAAAAGAATGGGTAAGGTTATTCAGGGATATGAAGAGGAAATTTAGCTGTAATAGAAGGTTTATTTTATGTTGAAGAAAAGCTTTGATTAGGTTCTATGTTATGGAAAACCCTTAGCATCATCTAGGTGGTTTGTGAATTGTCTTCTTTAGTTCAATGGTTTCTGAAGCTGATTGCCTATCACATTCACTTAGGATTGACTTAGCCTCACCTATTCTTTTTGAGTGAGAATCACTGTGGATAATAATGATTCTATGCTTTTTAGCTGCTGAGTTTATTCAGATATATACATTTAGTAACCTATTTCTGTGACTGTTAATTCTGGATATTGACTACTGAAATGCTTTTGAACCAGTAGCACCAACAATTCATAGAATCATTAATATGTAAATTCTCTCCTACTTTTTGTTTACTAAACTAGAGACTTTGTGAAAGGGGTGGGATCTTTGCTCAGGCACCATTGAATCTTAGGGAATTTGATTGGATTATAATAAGTTAAAGGAAGGTTGTCCAGGTAGCAGTGAAAAGCTCTGAAAAGATCTTTCAGAGGTTGTAAAGTAAGTCTGGAAAACTATTTTAGAGGACAGTGGCTTGTATTATTTAAGATGTATTATTATATTTGGTGGTCTGTGGCTTACATTGCTTAAGATAAGGCCTGATAGTGAAATAAATATAGGCTTTGATGGTAGACAGTGCTAAAAGAATGCAAACATGAAAGAAAGAATGTGTAAGTTTTTTAGAGCATGACTTCAGAAACTTATGACATGATTGACCTGTCAGCTTCAGTTTCATTAGGTTACTTATTTTAATGGTAGATAAATGATAAACTGTTGGGACTAACTAATAAATACTAGGGTGTAAAGATGAGCACATGGTAGTCCATGGACTCTGGTAAAGTCAGAGAGAGCCTCCAATAGTAATCATTGTACAGTCTGATTGACCTTTACAAGTAGTGCCCTA